TAGCCCGTGCTCGTCGGGCGAGGTCGAGGCCCACCTAGTTAATAATTAGGGTATTAATTAGGCTCATTAATTAAGCCCGTGCTCGTCGGGCGAGGTCGAGGCCCACCTAGTTAATAATTAGGGTATTAATTAGGCTCATTAATTAAGCCCGTGCTCGTCGGGCGAGGTCGAGGCCCACCTAGTGAATCAGGGTATTAATTAGGCTCATTAATTAAGCCCGTGCTCGTCGGGCGAGGTCGAGGCCCACCTAGTTAATAATTAGGGTATTAATTAGGCTCATTAATTAAGCCCGTGCTCGTCGGGCGAGGTCGAGGCCCACCTAGTGAATCAGGGTACTAATTAGGCTCATTAATTAAGCCCGTGCTCGTCGGGCGAGGTCGAGGCCCACCTAGTGAATCAGGGTATTAATTAGGCTCATTAATTAAGCCCGTGCTCGTCGGGCGAGGTCGAGGCCCACCTAGTTAATAATTAGGGTATTAATTAGGCTCATTAATTAAGCCCGTGCTCGTCGGGCGAGGTCGAGGCCCACCTAGTGAATCAGGGTACTAATTAGGCTCATTAATTAAGCCCGTGCTCGTCGGGCGAGGTCGAGGCCCACCTAGTGAATCAGGGTATTAATTAGGCTCATTAATTAAGCCCGTGCTCGTCGGGCGAGGTCGAGGCCCACCTAGCCTCGCGCAATCTCGCGCAATCTCGGGGTCTCATCTCGCAATCTCGGGTCATCTCGGACAACCTCGGGCCATCTCTAATCTCGTCGGGCGAGGTGGATGCCCAAGCGCGGCGTTCGCAGCTCTCGATGCCTCGAGGCATCTCCCCATATCTCCCCCGCACCTCCCATATCTCCCCATATCTCCCCATCTCTCGAGGCCCAGATGCGGGAGGCACCTCCCCATATCTCCCCCGCACCTCCCATCTCTCCCCATCTCTCGAGGCCCAGATGCGGGAGGCACCTCCCCATATCTCCCCCGCACCTCCCCATATCTCCCCATCTCTCGAGGCCCAGATGCGGGAGGCACCTCCCCATCTCCCCCCCGCACCTCCCCATCTCTCCCCATCTCTCGAGGCCCAGATGCGGGAGGCACCTCCCCATCTCCCCCCCGCACCTCCCCATCTCTCCCCATCTCTCGAGGCCCAGATGCGGGAGGCACCTCCCCATCTCCCCCGCACCTCCCCATATCTCCCCATCTCTCGAGGCCCAGATGCGGGAGGCACCTCCCCATCTCCCCGCACCTCCCCATCTCTCCCCATCTCTCGAGGCCCAGATGCGGGAGGCACCTCCCCATCTCTCCCCCGCACCTCCCATATCTCCCCATCTCTCCCCATCTCTCCCCATCTCTCGACGCCCACCGTGCCGACGAGCACCAGACGCCAGCAACGTGGTGCGCGTGCCGAGCCTCCACGAGGACATCCACGCGCATCGACCCCAGCGAGACGGCCTCCAAGCCGCCGCCGCCGCCGCCCGCCGAACCGCCGCCGTCGCCAACCCCGTCGCTGCCCGCCCCGTCGCTGCCCGCCCCGTCGCCGCCAACCCCGTCGCCGCCCGCCGAATCGCCGCCGCGCCACGACTCGCCGCCGACAGCGAGGCTTTGGCGGAGGCGGAGCACCGACACCGCCGTCCCTCGCGCCGCTACCAATGCCAGCCCACCACCGCCTCCGCCGCCTCCACCGCCTCCACCGCCTCCACCGCCTCCGCCGCCTCCACCGCCTCCGCCGCCTCCGCCCCCTCCGCCGCCGCCTCCACCACCACCACCGCCTCCACCGCCACCACCGCCTCCACCGCCTCCGCCGCCTCCGCCGCCTCCGCCGCCTCCGCCGCCGGCTCCGCCGCCGGCTCCGCCGCCGGCTTCACCGCCGGCTTCACCGCCGCCGGCTCCGCTGCCGCCGGCTCCGCTGCCGCCGCCGCCGCCGAGCGCGCCGCCGCCGCCGAGCGCGCCGCTGCTGGCGAGCGCGTGCGCCGGCCGTAGGTCAGGGGGCAGCACCTGAGGACATGTCTCGGACGTGTCACGGACGTGTCCTGGACATTGCGCTGCGGCAGAGTGTGTCCAGCACCTGAGGACATGTCTCGGACGTGGTCAATGGACGCGTCAATGGTCATTGCGCCGGCCGTCGGCCGGGGGGTTCGTCACCACCACCGCCGCCGCAGCCAGCCGCTCGCCGCGCCGCGCCGCCGTGCCGCTGCTGCCCCACCCGCCGCGGGGCGGCAGGCGCAGCCCGTACAGGCGTACCTGTGGCGAGAGACGGACGGGCAGAGAGGGGTAGAGAGGGGCAGAGAGGGGCAGAGAGGGGCAGAGAGGGGTAGAGAGGGGCAGAGAGGGCGAGATATGGCGAGATATGGCGAGATATGGCGAGAGATGGCGAGAGATGGCGAGAGATGGCGAGAGATGGCGAGGGATGGAGAGAGATGGAGAGAGATGGAGAGAGATGGAGAGACATGGAGAGACATGGAGAGACATGGCAGCCCGTTCATGCGCACCGCTCGTCGGCACGGTGAGCCTCGAGAGATGGGGAGAGATGGGGAGGTGCGGGGGGGAGATGGGGAGGTGCCTCCCGCATCTGGGCCTCGAGAGATGGGGAGAGATGGGGAGGTGCGGGGGAGATATGGGGAGGTGCCTCCCGCATCTGGGCCTCGAGAGATGGGGAGAGATGGGGAGGTGCGGGGGAGATCACACCGCCCCTTCGCCTCTGCAACGGCGCACTATTTTCTCTACACCATGGGACCCGCTTTGGTGCCCCTCTGTCCCTGGGTTCGGCATGCCTCCAAACCCACTCACCCGATAAAAACGTCCCAAAAAAACGCTCTCTCTCTCTCTAGGTTCTCGAGGTGGATATC